CTACGAACTAATCAAATAAAACGAGCTCAAAGAACGTGTTTCGCGTTACTACTGTTGTCACCCGCGTTCTGTGGAAGTGCGCTGACCCGTTTTCTGGTTTGGTCACGTGACGTTCCGCATAACCCCTGTTAACCTCCGGGGAAAATGTACTGCTGACCCCCACTGGACATGGCAGGTTTGATATCTACCCTCCCGATTCTCTGTTCGAGAAACGGCCCCAGGTGCGTGATGGCAGAGTCAGAGTGCAAACTGAATGTCTGCAGCGTTCTGCTGAACGAGCTTTAGATGCATCTCCAGACGAAATTTCACCACCACATCCAAAGCCTTTGAACACAAAGTAGTCAAAACGGCATCAGAATGCAAATGTCATTTGAACATGGAACCTCTAGGTGACACTGTCAAACTGACTTGTGACTGTAGCAGCAGAAAGACTCCTGAGCTTATCAGTGCCAAAGGTCTTGAAAGCTGCTGCTCTGTGAGATCTGCCTGTACAGATGTGGCTTCTTCTGTAGGCTGCTAGGACTTTAACTAGCATACGATTTTCCATTTGAAACAGCATGTCAAAACTAACAATGCCCTCTACAAAACAGCCATAATGTATAATCAGTCAGATGTATGGCATGTTTTACATTAGTAACTTATTAAAATAGCCTGGTGCAATGTTAAAGTCACACATCCTGTTTCATTAAGTGTAGTTTTTTTATTGAGCAAAGTCAAAAAAAATGAGGGAAAACTCTCTACTCACTGCTTTTGAATTCACTTAGAAGCACAAGATGTGCACACAAATTTTCTTCTCAAATTAGCTTTTTATTAAATCATAGGCAACAGCCCACTTAAACACATGGACTTTTTTTTGGTTTGTTTTATTTTGTTTCAGCTCTTGCCAATCTATCTAATTTTGGGTGGTGTATTATAAATATAGCTGTAACTTTATAGCCGTCAAGAACCTTACTTTGGCTAAAATTATTCTAGTAGTTAAAATTTTATTGACAGTTTTGCAAGGAACATGTCAGTGCATGCAACTTTTCAATCAGCTGCAAGTATTCACACCCGAAACCTCTCATGTACTTTTGTACTGCTGCATTTCTCAATGACATGACTCCCTGGTGCTCAGTGACACACTGAGGGTAATTAGTTTGAAGGTGTTGTTACTCAAATGATCTATAAATACAAGCAGAGGAGAGACTCTGTCTAGATGTGGTGCAGCTGAGGAGTTAGGTGTGATGTCTTTGTGACTGCGTGCTTTGTGTGTTTCTGTGACAAGCCAAAGCATCAGTGAAGGTCATGTATACAGGGCCACCACAGATCAGCAACCTACCTGCTGTTCACTGTTGCATAATCTCTCCACCTTACCTTAAGGTATCACCTGCTCCTTTCCTGTCCTCTCCCTTCTTTCTGTACCTCTCCATCACCTAGACCCATGTCTGCAGTGGTTTTCTTCTTTACCTCTTTTGTCCTCACCTTAACTCCTCCCATCCAAATATACCTACATCTGGTGTTATGAGGCTGCAAGCTTCTCTCTCTCTTTCTCTTGTCCTCTCCCTATTTATACTGGCCAAAAGTCATTTAGGCTTTCATTAAGCCAGCTGTGATCTCCAGCCAAAGCTCGACTTCCATCTGCTGCCATGGCCAACAGCAGGTGGCCTTTTAACAAAGTGCTGACTCGCACTGCACACACAAACAGTTATATCTCTGCTTCATTACACAGCATTTTGGATCTTGTTGTCAGTGCTCTTCTTTTCCCTAATCACTAATCAGACATGAAAGTGTGATCCACGTCACATCAGGAGTTTAAAGTAAAGTGTTTTTTTTTCTTTATGGACAATACATGGCACATTTTATTAAGTTTTCTGCTCAAGTCTCATTTACATCCCCTTCTAATAGACACTTTACATCACGTATGGCAGAATATGCTGTGTTGCATGTCACGGTTTCTTGTCTGCAGACAGGTGACTTATTCCTGATCTGCAGTGTCATCACAATGCAAATGACTTTCTTGTATTGTCATGTTCTGGTCATTCATGTAACTAAAAATAGCAATTTAGCACTTTAAAAAACTTTAGAGATCATCCTGTTTTGTGTGAGTGTTTGCAGCTAAAGTTAACATGAATGACCAGC